ACTCAACCTCTCCAAATTTTTCTGTATTTTTGTTTTTTTTTTCTAACAGACTAGTTTCATTTATCTTTCTAAAAAATTCATATTTTTCATAATTTTTTTCTCTCTGAAATTTCATCTTTTTATAACTTTTATTTCTCTACGTAATCTATTTGTTTCTCTGAAAATTATATTTTATTTTTTGATTCAATTTTTTTTAATGTAACTTTTATTTATCTTTGTATTTATGCATTTTCTCTAAAAAATATATTTTAAATCTTGTTTTTATCTCTAAATTTGTTTCCACTATAATTTTTCTCTTTCTTTATAATTTATTTTTTTTCTTTAACATATCTTTTACTCTCGACTTTATTTCTTTTTTCTCTACAAATTTTATCTTTTTGTCTTTAAATTTTCTTTCACTATTTTTTTTCTAAATCTTTTTATTTATCTCTCTAAAATTTATCTTCCAAAGGTTTTTTTACATCTCTCTAAACTTGTATTTTCATTTCTCTACGGGAAGACAAAAATTTATGCAAGGTCGGGTCCAAAAAATAGGAAATGCATGTCCCGACCCCATTTCAGTCACCGATTCCATTTTTTAAAATAATTTATATATATTTATTACATTTTTTTATACTTAAATTATAAAAATAATTAAAAACAATTATAAAACCGATAATTTTTCTCGAGAACATCTCTCGGACCCAAGAAGACGGAGACTAAAAATTGTCCCGAGCACAAGAATAAGAGAGAGCATCCTCACTCGCACCCACACCATTGTCATCTCTACTCTACATAAAATTTTCTCCCTTTAATAATATGTATTTTCAATTTTCTAACTTTTTTAAAAACAAGAAACTAAAAAGTGTTACCAAACATGTTTTTGGTGTTCTGTTTTTTAAAAACAAAAACAAAAAACCAAAAAACCAAAATGGTTATCAAATGACCCTTAGTGAATAGCAAATAAAGAGACATCCTTATCCAAATCATGGGCTGATTGAACAGAGAAGATAATCTTGTAAGTCATTGGTCTATCGTTAAGACAGCTAATAAAAAAGAATACGCTTCAAACTCCATTTTTATTTACAATAGCAATATGTTTTCTATAGATTCTTCTCCTCTTAGAATCTTTGTGAATTGTGTATTGGAACCAATTTATGTGCTCGACCCAAATATATATTGTCCCAAAATAAAGTGTCCAATGTTTGATTTTTGGGCTTGACTTTGTGAGTAAGCTTTTGAACGAGACTTATTTAGTAACCTTCCTATTTTTCTTGAAAGAAAATTAATTATTTCTTAATTTTTTGTTATATATATATATATATGTTTTTTTGTTTAAAAGTAAAGGAAGAATAACCATGACTAACATTTCTATAAAACTAAACACAAGAAATATATAGGACGATTCAGACTTATCGATTTGTGTTCTTTTTTAATTTTCAAATGTTTGGTCCTCTGCCACAAGTATAAGAAAGCACACTGGAACTCAACCAACCAAATTAGTTTGATTCATTTGTTGATTTAGCATAAATCAAACCGATGAAATATATATAATAATTAATTTTTTTTATGGCAATCTAGTTATTTTTTTCCTCTTTTTCTTATGATGCCAATTTGTTTCTTTTTTCTAAGCAAAGGCATCCCTCTTGTTGAAGAAGGAAATTTATCTTCGAACCGAACCGGCGAACTTTACTCCTCTCTAGGTCGGTTCTCCACTTTGAACCCAACCGAACCGGTTTTATTTAAACCGGTCTCCACCGTCGGTTGGTTCATTTGATGCTCGTCTAGAACCGAACCAACCGGCTTACACTTCTCCCTCTCGCTCCCATATGTTCTTCATTAGGGTTTAACCCTAAAACCTCTGCGAATTTGTGCCAATTGGGCCGACACGAAGAAGAAGAAGAAGAAGAAGAAGAAGAAGAAGAAGAAGAAGAAGAAGAATTGGGTATTGTCCGATTTCGGCGAGGGAGTGGGAAAATGCTGAAGACGAAGTACAAGCGATTACAGGGAAGTCAAACCCTAAGGCAACGATTGGTACTCGCAACGCTTTCCCGCACCTCTGTTCTGATCGAGGACATTAGAGCCGACGAGACCTTCCCAGGCCTTCGACCGCACGAGGTCTCCTTCCTCCGCTTGCTCGAGAAGGTCTCCGATGACTGCACCATCGAAATCAATGAAACCGGTACCCACCCACTGATTTTCAATTTCCATTCTTCCTCAATTTCTCTCGATTTTCTCATGGTTTTCTTTTTCTAGGCACAAAATTGAAGTACAAGCCTGGGATTGTGATGGGTGGTCGACACTTGGTGCACGATTGCGGTGTTAGTCGCTCCCTTGGCTATTTCCTTGAGCCCTTGATTCTTCTTGCTTTGTTCGCTAGGAAACCCCTCACCATTAAGCTCAAAGGTAAATCCAAGTTTTTGCTTACTACCCTTTTTACAAATTAGTCCCACCGATCTTGTAGCAAGCTGGACAGGTCTTTTGTAAATTTGTAGTGGGGGCCATCTTTTGTAATTTCTGAAAATATGAGTGATTGTAGCATTCTCATGTTCTTAGACCAGTTAGGGTTCTGGAATTTTCCACTGTTCCAGCTTGTGTAGCTCTTTGAATGTCACAACTTAGTTTCTTTATCTCTTATTTCTCACAGAATACACCAGATAATAATATGTACTTGTTATTGTTATTTTTATCAAAGTAGACTTTTTTGTTTGGGTATAGTGTTATTGTTCCATTTTAATTGATTAATGTCCGACATTTTTAGGTATTACAAATGATTCGAAGGATCCATCAGTTGATACTTTCAAATCTACGACGTTGCCCATGTTAAAGCACTTTGGAGTTGATCTAAAAGAAGTAGATTTGAAAATAGAAGGTCGGGGAGTACCACCTCATGGTGGTGGAGAAGTGACTTTGACCATGCCAACAGTTAAAAGTTTATCAGTGAGTGAGATGATTATATGTAGATATATATCATTGCGGTGTTAGAAAAAACTTAAATTGTTAGAATTGGCAATTCAGCTTTGGGTTGGGTTACAGTATCTTATGTGACTTGAAAACCAGATTATTTTATGTATCCTTTGACTTCACTTTGCCCATTGATCTTTCAAACGTTGCTTTTCTCTTTGTTAATTCATGCAATTAATGAGCTTAGATCTTGGAAATCGATTTTTCATGGAATTACCATTAAGGTGTTCCATTTTGATGTTTTTATATATTCTCTGTTTCTCATAAAAAGGGTTACCAATGTTGTACAGGCAGTATCTTGGACTGATGAAGGAATGGTCAAGAGAATTAGAGGGGTTACATTTTCAACTAGAGTCTCGTCTCAGTTCGAGCATGCTATGATAACTGCAGCTCGTGGTGTGTTTAATCGTCTGCTTCCAGATGTGCACATATTCACTGATCATAGAAAGGGATCTCTAGCTGGAAAGTATATTTTCTTTCTGCTTTGAATTCATTCATCAAAGTTCTATCTTTGATTGGCTCGTTTTTAACTATACAAGAATATTATTTTAAATGGCAGTTCACCTGGGTTTGGCATTTCACTGGTTGCGGAAACTACAAGCGGTTGTTTGATGTCTGCGGATACTACTGTTTCATATGGACATGCTGAAGAAACAACTGAGTTTGAAGAAGAGAAGAAACAGCTTTCACCTCCTGCAGACATTGGTGAACAGATGGCTTTTGCTCTGCTTGGTGAGATCGAACAAGGCGGTGTAGTTGACTCGACACACCAGGTTAGCATTCTCCAACAATTAGGTTGTTTCTAGTTTTGATTCACCTTGATTTGTCTCCGCTCTCTTTCTTTTTCATCTGAATTTCTTTACTGGATTATAATGTCTGTGTTGCTTTGTTTCGTGTTGTGTCCATGTTTCTTATCTTCCTCTTTCTTTCTCATATGAACTACTCTTGCTCATAAATCTGTGCTGCGTATGGTGTCTGTATCCCTGTTGTAATATGTGGGCTTTAAAATTTCTCCCTTCACCTCTCTAAATTCGTTTGGTTTTTAATCGAGGTGCAGTCAAGTTGGTTCACACTCATATATACATATTGAAGCACTTTTCTTCAAGATTCTCATAACTTTAATTGATCGACTTCTGGAGGGAAAAATGATGTTCTAGTTTTGGGCTTATAATAGTTTTATGCTACATTCTGCTTTGCCAACTTTAATCAAAATCGGCTTACCTAGTATAGTTTCCACATTTATATTTGGATTGTGCAGGGATTGTTGTTCCTTCTATGTGCATTGTGCCCCGAGGATGTTTCAAAGGTTCGGGTTGGAAAGCTCACTCCATACGGGATAGAAACTCTCAGAAACATATTAGAATTTTTGGGCGTAATGTTTAAAATTACGCCAGAACCTTCCAACGGTACCGTCGAACTGTTATGTGTTGGTTCTGGGATGTATAATCTATCCAGGAAGCACTCTTGATTGCCGAAAAAGATGCAAGAACAACTCAAGCCTGAAAGGAACGCGTTCACTTTGTACACCGGGCAGTATGTTTACTCGATGGGCAACAATCGGTCCATCTTGGTTTAAGATTGTACATTCAGGAGATGAACTCTAGATTGTGGAAGGGAAAATCAGATATAATATATGACCAACTGAGGATTATAGAAAGGCTGGATTTTTGGGGTCTGGCAAGGGGAAGTGATGTTTTTTGATGAGAGATATGATTACTATGTATTTTTGTTTTGGCATTGGAATCAAAGTTGATAGCAAAGTGTCATTATTCTTTATTCTTTCTCTGGGTTGATCTTGGGTTTCTCTAATTGTTTTATTAAATGCTTGGAGATTTTGTCTGGTGAAATATCCAAATGTTTGAAGAACATTTAAGCCTCGTTTAACAATAATTTCAGTTTTAGTATTCTGTTTTTAAAGATTATGTTTGTTTTCTCCCCCTTTCTTTAGTATGTTATTCACTTCTTTTTTAACACATTTGAATTATTAATGAATTTTTTTTTTCTGATTTGAAAGAAACAAGTTCTTGGAAATATAAGCTTTGATTTCTTTGAAAAGTGCTCCACTCAAAAATACCAAACTCAGACTCACTCTTCACTAAGATTAGAGTCATAAAACCTGGAAGAATATACCAAATAAAACAATAACAACAACAGAAAGAATATACCAAAACACTCTTCATCTTCTATAATAGCCGATTTCCAAACAACAAGAGAGAAGAAAACCGAAATTGCCTCATTTCTCCATACACGACACCGACACCACGACTAAAAACACTGTAGTTTCTTTCTTTTTCCTTTTTGACAGACTAACTGTACACAGTACAAATCAGAATCTGAAGTCAAGTAATCATCAAGCTGTACAGACAGAATAGACTAACTGACACAATGGGTCAAAACAAAACAAAGAGAACTAGAAGATATGACAGTGTAAGCTGTGCAGTTTGATTTTGTCTTGATGAAAATACTAACTTGGACCATCCTCTCCCCAAGCTTCATCTCTCAATTTTTGCCTCGTCACGATGCGATTCTTCCTGTCTTCTTCCTGTTTTCTTAGCTCTTTCAACCCGAAGTCTGGAGTAGGCAACTTCACTCCTATTCCCTGGGCGATCATCCGCTGGGCAGCTCTAGTGCACGTCTTTGGCCTCTGCTTTGGAGGTTCCAGATCTGACATTAACCAACAGCTATGCTCATTAAATCTTCAGCAAATAACCCTTATTCAAGATTTCGTGATGACGGATGCTAATGAAAATAGTGTCGTCTATCTAAAACAATCCTCTATATAGAAGGGTAAGGAAATGTTGTCATAGAAAACCTCAAGGAGCAGCTCTTACCTCTTGGTCGAATTGATCTCAAAAGAGGATCATTCTCATCAAGTACGTGTACGGTGAAAGGACTTCTAACATGATTGAGAGCCTCAAGGGCTGCATTAGAAAATTAAGGTAATCGTTAATATAACTTGAATTTTAATGCATGATACTAATTCATCAACATTATCACATCAGTGATTGAAAAAAATGATTCAATGTAAGATAATGGTGATAAATATGAAGATTTGAGCATTTGACAGAGACATTACACGGAGGAAGTTCAGTGAGATCTTCACTCAAGAACCAAGAAGCGACATAAGATTAAGGGTGAGTTGAAATAACTTTTAGAAGGACAAAAAAACATTTTTAGCACATTAAAAGCACTATTTGTTTTTTTAGCACATTAAAAGCACTATTTAAAGTTTTTGTAGTGTTTAAGTAGTCAACCAAAAGTCATATAAATTTTTTTTAAAATGCTCAAATAAGAAGTGTTTCCACTAAAAAACTCCTTTTTCTTTTTTTTTTTTCAAATAACAAAAGTCACTCACAAACTTTGTCTAAGCCAAATAAGAAATATATCGGTCAGTAGAAACCAACATAACAAAAATATGACCATAACAAAAGAAGTACATGACCAATTATCTACTGACTTTGCCCACGTCATGAACCATCAACCACAGGACAAGAGATTACAATAAAACTTTTCAATTACAAATAAGATAAGAAGTCCAATACCTAAAAGATTTCCCAAAAATGAAATTCTAGTTTTAAGAAAATTACCAGCTGACGGTGTCTGAAATACAGCAAGTGCAGTGGTATCATTGACCCAGCGAATGGCAACTCCAGAATTCATGAAGTTCCCAAGTAGTCTTTCAAGATCCATTGTTTTGGTACTTAGTGGAAAGTCGGTTAGGACAAGAACATGTTGAGTACCATATTGTGCTGGATTCACCCAATAAAATAAGAAAAGACTTAGCTCCTGCATGATATTTTTACTTGTGTACAAAACATCAACAAACAATTTTAGCTGCTTAGAAGCCGAAACAATGGCAGTATCTTATGTCAATTGTCCAGCTTGAACAAATATTACAAAATTCTATCATATTTGGAAATTAAGCGACAGGCTTACCACTTTTTAGCTCCCTACGCCCCTCCTCCAACCCATGAGTAGCATCTTCGGCTTTTGTATCCTTGATGGTTGAAGAATCAGAAAGCTTATCACTATATAATTCGTCTTTCTTATATGAAAATGTTCCCCTCCCACGTCGTCTAGGGGTTTGGTCTTTTGTCTCTCTGACTGAAAGTCCTGTTCCATCAGGTTCACGTTTCAAGGAGAGCAATTCATTTGGTGAGCTTTGCAAGGAGATCAATTCATTTGGTGAGCGATCTGCAATAGCTTCCCAATCTGTAAATGGTAACAGCCTATTGTGTTAAATAACATTCTTATTGTTATAATTAAATAGCAACTATTTTCTATCACAAGCATAAAAGAAACGAGAAAATCTTTATAAGATAAGCATTGGTTGGCTATACAACAACATAAAATTAGTAAATTGTTTGATTGAAATGTATAATACAACTTCCTTTCCTAAATAGTATGTAGCTCAAAACCATTCATTTAAAGATGATACAGTTCCCTTACTTTTTTCTCCAGGTTTCCATTGGATTTGAAACTAACTACTGTCCAAAATTTTCTTATTTGTTCATTATTGTTCCATCCATAATATATTATCAAATAATCAACTGCTTGATCTGCACTAAAAGTTCCGTCAAAGTCACTTTCAGTTTTTTAGTGCATCTTGTCAAAGTCATATTGATTTAATTATTAGTCTCTTGGTGCAGTATTGATGCAAAAATGATATATCTTAAGTGGTTTTTGACTTGTTGGCATTGGAGTTATTCAAATCAAGATGCGTGATAAACTTTCTAGGATTCTGTTCCCAAAGGTAATATCTTTCAAGAAATGCATACAAACGATCTTCATATCTTTCAAGACAATGTAGCCTTTGGGTGTTACAACTATCATATAATCCTTAGATCTAGTTATAAATGCTACTTCTTCATGGTATTTGTGTTTTAGACTCAAAAGACAATGCCTTTAAGGTAGAGATACCACCTATTCTCTTCAAATGATCAATACAGGAATACTCAAGATGGTGAAGTTCATTTACTCACATCTTTAATTTGTACTAATTCATGGTTTCTTTCTCTTATTTGGGGAAAAACAGAGCGGGGTAGGCACTAATTACAATGAGACAGTGATTTCCATTAAATAAAAATTTCGATTTCATCGATTTATAAGTTTAAGGCAATGTAAATGTACCATCAACATCCAAAGACCCATCACGGGGTAGAGCATTTTCTGGACTCTCTCTTTTATGATCCAAATTACCTTCACAAGAAAATCACATACCATCACTACTATTTACAAACAGACCAGTTTTCGAAAAGTAATCAAAGAAAATGAAGGCAAGGCAAGTTTAAGGCAATATAAGTGCACAATCATTCAACGACCCATCACAAAGTAAAGCATTGTCTGGAGTTTCTCTCTACGATCCAAATTCCATTCACAAGGAAATCAATCTCATTAACATCTTTAATATCATTATTCCTAATGTACCCAAGAAAATTTTCCAGCGAACTAGAACTTCATCTCCGTTGATTTTAAATGAAAAAGGGACAAGAAAAATGCACCAGTTGCAACGGATGCTCCACCAACTGAACCACGGGAAGCCGAAGAAACATTTGCAGACGAAGTTCGATCCCCTTTCACAGTCTTTCCATACCTGAAAGACGAAAAGGGAAATAAAATCAACTAAAATCGAAGTCAAATCAACCAGTAGGTCAGAAACCGCATACTCAAATCAAGAAATTCGAAACAGTAGTCCAATGAACTTCAAGAATCACAACTAAGAAGCCTCGAATTCAAGCCTTCCAAGAACAAGAACAAGAAGTTTACCCAGCAGGAGACGAGACTTGGGTTTGTTGTTTAAGAACCAAAGCTTTAGTGGCAATGTCGTCGGCTTTGAGAGAGAATCCTTTAGAAGAGTAGAGAGTGGACAAATCGGAGAGAGCGGCGGCCAATTGGGGATCTCGATTACAGTCGTTTAAGGTCTGGAGGCCGGAAATCACCGATTGGAGAAGAGAAATTGCAGATTCAATGTCTCCGGCAGTGACGAGGTCCTCCACAAGCTCGCTCCAGTTGGATCGCTGCCGCTGCTGCTCTTCTTCTACTTTCTCCATCGCTGCGGCTGATTCTCAAAGAATGGAAGTAGAAGAGATTTCGGATTTCGGATTTCAGATTTTCGAGTGGGAATAGTGCAGAAAGTTGAAGAAATTTGTTACTCGTACGCCATGAATGAAGTTCTTGCTCCCCCTTCTCTGTTTATATAGATTTTCCAATTACCGCGAACGTTGCTTTCTTTTGGCTTAACTGATTGATTATTAACAAATTATTATATGGTTAAAAGAAAATTGTAATTCAACAACATTTTTCAATTAGCCTGTCATATTTTTATATTTTTTAATTTAGTTTTATATTTTTTAATTTAGCGTTTATTGTTGGTGTATGATAATAAATTTTTTTGGCATTAGTGAATGGATGAAAATTTAGAGGAGAAAAAATGTTACCGAGAGATTATTAAAAAAAAAAAAAGTCATCCAAGAGAAGAGAACTCGAAATTTCTATCGATTACTTAGAAATTTTGAAGAGGAATTAGAAACTATTCTTTATTGGTTGGACTTTTTTTTCTTCTAAATTTTAGCCAATTTACTAATTATTATTATTATTATTATTATTTAGTTATTTATTTTGATAATTGGAAGTCAGAGTTTTGCTCCCCTATACCCAAGGACACCCTCGCTCTCTCAAAGGTCGGAAGCTAATTTACTAATTATTATATGTTGGGTTTGTAAAGAGTGCAAAAGAAGTATGAGAAAGAAGAAGATCATGGGTATATATGTGAGAGACAATATCTCTATTGGTACGAGTCGTTTTGTTTGAAAAATCTAGCTGTGTGGTAGGAAATCCTTGAATGCTAAAAAACTAAATAGGGAGCCTCGGAAGATGAACCAAAAGAAAGTTATGAAGGTGTTATGCCTTAAGAAGCACATACACTTCATTTTAGGTAATGTGTCCGTGTCAGACACTCCGACACTTATCGGGCACTTGATAGCTTAATAGACATGTGTCATACACTAGTTATAAAAAGTGAATATGGATTCAACAGTTGTTAGGCACATATCGAACAATTGTTAAGCATAAGAAATAGACATAAATAGTAGTATAAGACTAAATAATAAACTTTGAGAGTAAAAATACATCAAACTCATTTTTTTTACATAAAAATGCATAAGCTTATTGACTTTGAATTTCCTTCCTAAAAAAATGATATATTTTAATAAATGTATCTATGTCCTAGATTTTTAGAAAATGATGTGTCTGTCCGTTCCATGTCATATTCGTGTCTCGTGTTCGTATTCCTGCTTCTTAAGTTATGCCCAAAGCATACAATATAGTACTCAGTATCGTTGTCTCTAACATTATACTTATCATCAGGTAATTTTAACATTCATCAATATCGAGGAGTAACTAAATTAAAAATGTTTAAACTCCAAGGGACTAAATTGAAGGAAAAAAAAAAATCTCAAAATATCAGAGACTAGACCACATGTTTAGCCTTTGTGAAATTTTTACAAATCAAAATTTTAAATATTTTAGTTGAGTAATTATTCTTCAAAGTGATGAAGTCATTGTAACTAAATGATAGTCGGTTATAATTTCATTTGTAATATGGTTATCATCCACACCTTGACTCTTACAATTGAATTATGTCTTCCAAAAGTAAAAATTGTTAGGTTTAAAGTTGAATTTCTTCATTAAATTTTCAAAACGTTGATTTTTGGTCATCAAATCCTTAAAATGTCAAATTTGGTCTCTATGTTTTTTAGTTTTATTCTATTTTGATGCTAAACCTTCAAAATATTCATCTTAGTCGCTAATCATTTTAGTCCTTTATCTTTATTTTGTACTTTAACAAATGAATAACGTATCTTTTAGTATGTGTATTAATGTAATAACGTGATATATTATAGTCTTATAGATTGACTAAAGTAAGAATTAGGCGGGTGTATGTTAAAAGAGAACAAAACTTGAAAATAAAAAACTAAAATAAATCAAAATCACTTTTAAAAGTACATGGACAAATATACGGACTAAAATGAACAAAACTTGAAAATATAGGGACCAAATAAACTTTTTGAGAGTGCAAGGACAAAAATAAACCAAAATTAAAAGTATAAGAACGAAAATAAACTTTTTTTTTCATTACATCTTCTCGAAGGTTGACATTCCTATTACTGACATCATTTAATATTCGTTTGGTAACATTATGACATCCAATTTTATTAAGAAACCTAAGCATTTAACAACTATTTATGTTCCTTGTTTGTCATTTTTAGAAGCATTCTAAAAACTGTCTAAAAATTCTGGAGACAACAAAAATAAGTTTCTTGTTTCTAGTTCACATTTGCAATTTGTTCCAAAACATAAATAAAAATATAGCATTTTTTAATCCATTAGTATTGGGTCTTGCAATTTTATTTTTCTTTATTAAAAATGAGGAAACAGAAATCAGAAATGAGAACGTTACCAAAAGAATTTTTAGAGTCTCCATCATTCTCGTTAGTAGGGAATCGCTTAAAGAGAATCTGATTAAACGAACTCTTGTTAAACGTATAAATGACAATTTTCCATTAACTGTTATGTTTGCTCTTTGTTAAGGATCTAATCCTCTTATTGTCAATTGGTTTTGATATGTAACTCATGAATATTAATATGGTATCATAGCTCAAAAGCTCAAACGAGCATCCGGTCCAAAAATGGGATCCGACCAAGATCGATGAGCCAAAAGAGTCACGATCTTGAGGAGGCATATTGAAAAGAAAAGGGACCTAACAAGGATTTATAATAGACATGAACTACTTCTCTCATTGATAATTGGTTTTAAAATGAAACCCACGAATATTAATACTCTTTTTCAATAAACGATTCAATGAATCTGTTGGAGTGTCTTCTTCTTTTTTTTTTCTTTTCTATTCTGAGTATGTTGATATTTTTGGTGACTCAAGTTTATCCTATGCAAATTTTCATTTGAAGTTGTGTTGGGCTTTTATTTGTTAAAACAAAATATATATAGAGAATTTACCATAGGTGTCTTTATTTGTCACGCAGTTTTGAAAAATGGCCGAATGATCTCGATATGAGCAATCTGTTTCAAGTGATGAAGTTACCAAGGTTGATGATCAGTTGGCTGGTGACTTATTTGAGGAACAACCTAAAATTGTTAATATTGAAAATATCCAATTAAAATATCGAGCGTTAGACTACCAATGGACTAAAGATAGACAGAGAAGGGTTGTTAGACCACTAACAAGATATAAGGAAGCAAATTATGCAGGAAAATGATACAGTTTATATCTTAAACTATAATGAAATCTTATTAAGTTGTGAACCTTCAAACTTTGATGAAACAATAGAGTCTAAAGAAAGTGATAAGTGGTTAATTGCTATGAATAAAGAAATGAACTCATTGATTAAAAATGAGACTTTGGTGCTTGTAGAAAAATCACCAGATTGTTAAGGACAACGGTACCCTCGTACTCTCAAGCATCTCCATAATGGTAAGATATTGTCCACTTTGAGCATGACCCTCACGACTTTGCTTTTGGTTTCACCAAAAAAGTCTCATACCAATGGAGATAATCATCTTCTCTTATATATTATGGATCATTCTCTTCTCTAACCAATGTGGAAATTTTTGTTGCACACTTTGCAACCCCAAAAATCTTCCTCTCGAACAAAGTGTCACTTGTATCTTGTCTTAAATAGTCGTGCACGCATCTATTCCTAGCTAACAACGAGAGCTTGATTCTATCCATCACGTTTAGATAGAACACTTGCTATACGGACCACATTGTGTAAACACCTAGTGTCCTTCTATCACATCTTCAATCTCCTCCCCTTGAACAAAGATGCCTCTTCTCTTATCAGTGGAATCGAACTGATAGATTTACTTTCTATCAATCTCTAGGACTTGATAGATCTACTTTTCTTCTATCAATATCCATGACTTGATAGCTCGCCTTCACGTACTTTTTGTTCGATTTGGAGATCCATCCACAAGTTTCATAATGACTATTAGACTTACCAATCACTCTTGTTTTGCCCCCGAGGATTCCTCCCACACGGCTAGGTTTTTTACCATGGCTTTGATACCCCACTTGTTAAGGACAACGGTATCCTCATATCCTCATATCCTCAAGTATCTCCACAATAGTATGATATTATCCGCTTTGGGCATAACCATCACTACTTTGCTTTTGGTTTCGGTTAAAGTTGACTTTTTACTGCAGAAACATGTGTCGGTAGCCCTGTTTGACCACATTTTTGACCCATTTCCCATTATTATTTGCCAAAAAGGACCACATATTCTTAAAGTAGAACATACATAGATTATTTCTGCATAAAAGTCAAACTATGGTACTTTATGAAAAATATGAGATAAATCCGGTCAAAGTTGGAAGAAAATAACAGAATTTTGTTTTTTTGCAGAATTGCGCCCGGTGCATTTTTGGAGGACAATTTGTCAAAACGCACGTTTTGATTAATGAAGGACAAGGAAGACATTTCCCACATGTTTAAAACCGTGAGTCCAAGTCCAAGTGAGGTGGTTAGGTGAAGCTCAACCCTTTTCCACCTAAAATGGAGGGGAGTTTCAACCAACCTATGGTGCTATAAAAGGAAGTCATCCATCCCTCAGCAAATCATCCCCTTCCAAGCTTCGTTTCATCTTCTTTTAGATGCTCTCTAGTTGTAGAACACGTTTTTAGGGTTTATGTTCATGTTCTAGTTGTTCATTTCTTTGTTTTTCGCGCTTTTACCTTTCGTAT